CCTGCCTCCTCCAATCCCAGCTGCAGCGAATGTCCATGTTGCTTCCCAGCCCCAAACACGGGGTCAGTCTGACCAGGCGTATTTTGGCAAACCCCTGGCAAAGTATTCTCCGTAGCAACTCAGAGCGAGGGTGACCGTCGTTCCCGGTGCTGACTATGGGACACCGCGTCCTCAAGCGCGTTCCATGGCAATCGATCACAACGAGGCGGTACAAACGTCCACCTGAGCATCACATCGGCTGAGCCCCCGTGGCGAAGACACACGGCCTAGCTAGAGTCTGAATTTCTCTTCTTACCGCTAAGGTGTGCATGGGGAGAAGTGACGCACACACGCAGTCCTGGACACCTCGCTCACATGGGGGTGCGTCGCTAGGGCAGACGCCTGTGGACCGTCTGGCCCTTGGTGCTCCCAGGTGAGGTTCCTGAGAAGCTGAGGGCTTGGGCGGCCACCCAGGAGAGATTCAGCTGCCGCCCAGCTGATGAGCAGAGCACCCACAGCCAGCAGTATGTTTCTACGGGTGGTGCACATCTGCACATGCCTCGGTGCATAGAACAAAATTTATTCCACCCAGGGATGGAAAAATTTAGAGGGAACACTTCTCCCAGGGCTTGCACACTCCCTCCCCCCGTCAGCTGCATGGGGGTCATTTATGGGAAGCGGCTCTTTAGGAACTTGCAAACTCCCAGCCTGCGATGCAGCCAGCATGGGAGCGGCCCTGCAGACCAACCACTGGCTGCACAGAATCACAGCACCAAAGAGCAGCCAAGGGCTAGTGCAGAGGTGGGGAACCATTTTTGGGTTGGGGGCCACTGACCCATAGAAGAATCAGTCGGGGGCTGCACAAAAGTGAGAAGCAAAAAAACAAAACAACAAACAACAGCCCACCCCCAGAACAAAACCACCAAACCTCACATTCCCCTTGCCCACCAGAACCTAGGGGGGGCCAGGCTTGTAGGCTTTGTGGGCCCCCCATGCTCTCGGGTGGGGCCAAAATGAAGAGTTCAGTGTGTGGGAGGGGGCTGCCAGGAAGCGGGATTGGGGTGTGGGGTCTGGGCGGGAGGGAGGGGGCAGGAGTGGGTTGGGGGGTCTGGGAGGGTGGAAGGGTGCAGGAGCAGAATGGGGTGGGGTTGGGAGGGGGGCCATAGGACTCGAGTGCCAGATCCCCAATGCTGGGTGGGCCCTGTAGGTTCATAGAACCATAGAGCTGGCAGAGAGCTCGGGAGGCATCACGTCCAGGCCCCTGCCCGAGGCAGGACCAACCCCAACTAAATCAACCCAGCCTGGGCTTTGTCAAGCTGGGATTTAAAAACCTCTAGGGATGGAGATGGTGCGTGTGCGTGTGTGGCGGGGGGGAGGTTCCAGGGGACATGCTAGGCGCCTGTTCCATGGAGGGGACCCCTGGGATTGCCTGTCTTCCCTCCCCAGCCAGACGCAACAGCCGGAGGCCGGGGGAGCCTTTGGAGAGGGACGTGGGAGGGGTGGGAGGTGTTTCCGTTGGCGACAGACTCGCCGGTGCCAGTTCGGGGAGCTGGCCGGCGAGCAGAGCCCCTGATGAAATGGTTGCTCGGTGTTGCTCAGGCTGAGTTACGTCAGGCACAGAGAGGCTTGGCCAGACCGCCTGTGATTATTTGCCAGCCCAATGAGACGAGGGTATTTTAGGGTTGTGTCCTCGTCAGCCCTGGGCAGCGCCATGGACTCCGGGGGCTGCAGCAGCAACCCCCTCCCCTCACGCAGGCTGGGGCCAGGATGCCTCAATCAGACTGCTAGCAATGAGGGGGCAAGATCGGGGAAGAGGAAACGGAAAAGGCCCTGGGGATTACAGTGGATGAGACACTGGAGATGAGTCAACAGGGCGCCCTTGTAGCCAAGGAGGCTAACGGCATATTAGGGGGCATTAGGAGGCGCATGGCCAGCAGATCTAGGGAAGTGATCATTCCCCTTTATTCGGCTCTGGGGAGGCCACATCTGGAGTATCGTGTCCAGCTCTGGGCCCCCCACTACAGAAAGGATGTGGACACATTGGAGAGGGTCCAGCGGAGGGCAACAAAATGATTCAGGGGCTGGAGCACATGGCCTACAAGGAGAGGCTGAGGGACTTGGGCTTGTTTAGTCTGCAGGAGAGCAGAGTGAGGGGGGATTTGAGAGCAGCCTGCTACTGCCTGAAGGGGGTTCCAAAGAGGATGGAGAAAGGCTGGTCACAGATGGCAGAATCCCCTGCCCAGCTGCACCTCTGCACCTTGGCGCCTTCAGCTGGCGACTCTTCCCCTCCCAGAGCCCTTCCCCTGCCAATCAGCAGCACCTTTTGCCCTCAGCAGCCCGGGCTCCCACGGCTG